TTCGGTAGGTCTATTTCACTCGGGCAGGTAGCGGCCACTGGTAATTACTACCTACGACCTGGGAGCTCAGAGATAAAATGAAAGGCCCGGACGATTTTCGAAACCGAAATCGCGTCAGTCAATGATGCGGTGTGCTGTTATTGTTGCTGCTCTCCGCTGCTGCTCTATTCTAGCCTTCCCCTTGCCAATTCCCGCTCGTCCTTTCTTTCCTTCTGCAATTCGGAGCGGAGTCGCGCAATCGGTCGCGCCACTTGGCTCGCAATCTGCGATGATTAGCGAGATAAAAGGATAATAAAAAATATATAATTTCCACCGCTTTATTAGCGTGTAGAATTCGTAGAGATTGCGTTTGCGTAATCGATTTTATTGTACCGCCCTGTCTCGATTTTATATATATTAATTTTTTTTTTCTTTACGTAATTTAAGTGTATCGATTATCCGAAATTGTTTGTTGCGAATTGTTTGAAGCGACGTGAAATTACTTCGCTAATTTAATCAATTTGGGCGGAAAATTTTCGAGGGCGCATTACCTTTCCAATCAGCGTTAGCATCTAATGATAAGATACGGGTACTTTTATCGATGCGTCCCGCTGTGACGCCGGACGGTAGCAGGCTTGCAATTAAGATATTAAAAGAACACTTCTCTTCCGTAGGTTTACATAATCATAGTCGGGTATAATTACGTATTTACATAATTACATATATTCCGTGTTGCGCGAGTTTATTCCACGCCTACATTTACCTCGTGCTAACGAGATCGACGATAACAATCGATTTGTGTAAGCTTTTTGTATGCATTCACTTTTTAAAGCTGCTCATCGTTTATTCGTCTACGAATTAAATACAGTAGATTTTAGATCGACATGCATCGTGATTGTATATCTTCATTTACGATATTAATGACTGAGTATTTCAAAGCGCTTTATCAGATATCAAAATATTTTGCACAAACAAGAATTAAGTAAGATAACATCGCTATATTTAAAAAAATTCCTTTATTATTTGTTATTGCTAAAGACTGAAAAACAGAGAAAACGAGAAACCCGTCGGATTTAGTGTGAGTTTCGCTGAGCGAAAGGAAAATCGCGCAAACGTGCCGAGCAACTTTTCGAAAGCGGCAGATTCTGTATGGTCTTTGCGAACGCGGCAAGCATCGGCAAATGAGTTTCCTCCGAAGAGAGCAGAACAAAGGAAGGAGGAAGACGCGCTGAGGAGAGGACACGGTAGAGTCGTTCCTCAGTATGCGTTCCGCGGGCGTTTTTTTCGGCCGGCTGGCGAATTATTCGTACTCCGGCCGCCGCAAGTTCCACAAGAGTGTATATAAAAGTAGGCGCAACGAGGTATGGCTCGCTGCACCTTGACTATGCGGAAAGGAAAGGCTCTTCTTCACCGGCGAACCGGCCGGGAATCGCGCGAGCGAACGCGCATGCATGTATACAGGCACACGCGCGTACACTCTTTAGATGTGCTCGCAGTCACGAAGACTGCTGTTCTACTCATCTCTCGCGTATGTACGTGCACATACAAAGCGACGGACGTGCGACAGTTTACGAAGATGTATACACGCTGACGGTAATATACCCGCGATGGAGATAAAATGCCCGTAAAACGCTCCGCTTCATGTACCAGGTGTCCAGAAATCAATCTGCGGAGCTTGAGCCGAACCCCGCCGTCTTAATCACCGTGAGAACGATAGAAAAGTTAAACTTGCATATATTTTTTATCAGAGGTCTTTCCCTTGATTTCGTCATTAAAAAGACCGTAACAGCGTGTATAATTTAGGAATCTCATTTTTCAATGTAAATCACGAAAACCTGTTTAATGGACAATGGAGTTATTACAATGCGCGCGTAATGTATGGTTAGAAAGGGATGAACTTTCAACTTAATAACCGCGAAAGCGAGCGACGCTGCGAAGGACGAAAGAAATAATCGCTCCGAAGGTAGAAGGCGCGGTGCCAGAATAGGGAAGTGTAGTCGCTAATACAAGGTGTCCACCTTTATTACACGTCGACGGCCCCGGGAACTTCAATTATCGTTGGGTGGCAGTCGACTATGTGGGAAAATACTACGATAGCGAGACACGATCGCGTTTTTTTGCAACGATAAGTGTCGAGTTGAGCGCAAAAGCGTCGTGATCGAATTCGAGTCGCAGAAATTTAAGTTCGGCAAACATTTTTATTATGCTGTCGAATAAATTAGTTAAATAAGGCAGAAAAAAAATTTAAAAAACGTATGAGGGATAGAATATTGCCCTAAGTGTTCAAAACATTATCCAAAATTTTTGTAGTTAAGTATTTTAGCGTTGTATTACGCAACGTTATTATATTTTGCTTACTTTTACATACACACATTTTAAAAGACGATGTATAACACACTATTATTCATTGCAAACACATCACACTAACGCGTTATTACATTATTTATTATACTCATCGCATTAACATATGACATTATTGTACGAAAAAATTGGCAGTAAAATCGTGATTAGCATATTATCGGGATTTCTTACATCGCACTTTTCAACCCAGTGCCGAAATTTCGTCGGATATTCCAGTCGCGTCCGCGAGCGATTCTCCTGATTCTTACTCCCTCGAGCGCCCATCCGCGACTCCATCCGAGAGACTCTTCCGCGTCGGCTAACTTAAAACATCTCCAGCTTGCGCTCGTCGTCTGGTAATTTCTCGCAGGCACGTGAGCGGACTATGTAAAGTTTGCGGAGCGCACGTTTGCAAACGCTCGCGCGCGCGAGACGGAGAGAAAGAGCTCTACCGCTGGACCGCACGGAGGCAGGAGGTTACCGGCAAAGTTGAGAGAGCCTCCAGAATAAGTATACTCGACTAATAAAACGCGTACGCGAGTCGTTACACACGGCGTTCGCTTTCCAAACAGATGCGCGCCTCTCGTCACCGCGCGCGCATGAAAATTCATACGGCGAGATTTATCGCCATCCAAGCGTCCGTCGTCGTAAACGAGCAGCGAGAAGTGAGGACGATGACGTCGACGTTGCCGCGACGCGACAAAAAGATTCTGTCGAATCCTAGTCCAGCCGTTAGTCGGACAAGCGCTGGGCGTTATTAATAGATATACATCATACCGCGGTGATAGTTATTACTATTGCCGAATAGGTCGGGTTAACATGGGGATAAATTGCAATATCATTTTTATGCCGACGACAGCGCGAGGCAGACGATGGGGGTTGTATACGCGAGGCCACCTTCGCGGACAACAGTTTGATCGTAAAGTATACAGAGTGCTCGTTGAAATTTGCTAAAACGAGCCTTATGAGTCTTCCGCAGAATAATCAGTGATGAAGTAGACTACTACATTATAACGCCATTGATAGAATTAACTGTGAAATTTTGACGTGAATATTTAGATATCTGATTGGTTCTTCGAGTACATAAAATCTTATGTTTCCTAGAAAATATTGCGTATTATAGAATAAAATTAAAGTCTGACATGAGCACAGAAATATATGTTTTATATAACTGCACTTATAATTTTTCTAAATGAAAGAATTCCTTGTATAACTTCCACTTAGAACTACGCTGTGTGCGGAGTTAAATATGACTTGACTATTATTTGTAAAAGTATTAGGTCCGTACGATATTCCGCAGAAACAATAGCTGATTCACGCGTTCCTTTCCATATTCCTTTAACGATTTCTCCAAATTGCTCTGTGTGTACACTAGCGCGCATACCATTATGCGCGTCAAAGGCACGAAATTACGCGGCTTGTAACTTGGGCAAATTTCTATACGTGTCGTGCGCGTATTGTTCGAACGTACAAAAGATCTTATTCATTATGAGTTCCATTATGTTATCGCCACGCTTCTCCACCTTTCTCGCATCACGCGATCATCATCCTGCAAGTATTGTCACGTGGATTGCGAAGCAGTTTGCTTTTCAATTATTCCCCGATTTATTCTCAACATCTCTCCCGAACCGAAGCCGCAGGAGCTTTACGCCGAGGCAACCTGTTAAAATGTCACTCGCGAGACGGGGCTTATATAACGCAGAAGGAAGCACGTTATGGAAAGCAAAGGCCAGCAGACGATCCTTCGCGCTTTCTACCTTCGATCTTACTCTTACGATAAGTACGTGAACTCATGCATGCGTGTATACACACATACGCATACACGTACCGTATTAAATATACCAATATATGTGCACACGCATTCACGGTGTACAATGTGGCAGATATTTATTGTATTGTATTTTTTTTTTTTTTAGAAAAAATAACTTCTATCATATTTAAGAACTTTAAAACTCTGCGAAGCGCACACGCGTTGCGCATCTTTAGAAATATCATATAGTTTTGAATAAATTACTATTAAAAACAGAATTTTATATGCATGTCTTTATTGGAATCTGCATATGAGAAACGCAGATGCGCGAGTGTGAGTAAGAAGTGATTACTTTCGAGGAATGTGCGATGAATATCGCGTGTAGTCACGATTGCAGTTTTGAAACTGCTCGATTTCTTTTCTGAGATTGGTTCGAAATTGCTGCTGCTGCATTCGATGCATTTGCTCAAGGCTTTCGGCTCTCTCTCTCTTTCTCTCTCTTCATTAACATGAGACTTCCATTTCCACGGTGCGCAATAACGAACGGTAATAAATTTTCAAGCCTCAGTACTTGGCACAGAAATGGAAACCAAATTTTATGAAAAAGCCTTTCATAACAATGGGAGAGGTTTCTTTTTGTCTTCTACTTTCTGTTTATTTCTCCTAAATTTCATAATTTATACAATTAACATAATTCTATGGCGTTTATTAAATCGGTGCACAATTATTGCCTACTGTATACTAACTGTTTTATCTAAAATAATAAAAGTGCATTAATTTTAGAAACTTTTTTTGGTTAGATATTAGATATCCTTCCAACTCGCCGCGTCATCGCGATGTAATGCATAGTAATGCGACCAATGTTCGGCATGTCGAAACTGCATGGTTCAAGTCGAATCAATTCTAACGACGTTTCCATTTGCTGTTGCAGGCGACAATCGCGAGCGGATTCTTCGAAGTGCAGATCCTCTCGCTGACGAACAATCAGGGCACCCTAGTGGACGGTAGGTGTTGCGGAGGAGGCAAGGCCGGGAAAGAAGAATATCCACCCTGCACGAAGCCCTGCTCGACATTCTTCTGGCTCTGTCTCAAGGAATATCAGTCGAATGTCACCGCCAAGGGTCCCTGTAGCTTTGGCAACGTATCTAGTCACGCTCTCGGCTTGAACACCTTTACCCTCAACGAACCCGTCACTCTGCAGCTCCATTTCACCTTCCGATGGACGGTGAGTCATTATAATTATTTGCATCTAAACTTATTTTTTTCAAAATAATTCTTTGTTATTTTAAGTATAATTGTTTTTCGTGTCTCTAGTAATATAAATACCATATCGCGTTAAAGAAGTTTCGCGAACCTTTTCTACATTCAGTTGTAATTTACAAGTGAATTACATTTAGTCGCTGTAACGTGTACGTTTCTGTGTACGACGTTGGTTAATATTATTTGTTCAATATGAATTTTAATGTCAACGCTATCAGATGATGAATCGGACAGTCATGTTAAACGCTAAGTACGTGTCGGGAGGATATAGGTCGAAAAGGCACTCTGAGAGTGCCGAAACATGCGCGGCACCATCTAATATCCGTGAGAACGCGAACGTCGGCTAAAAATCCCGACTGGTTGCCGTTACACTGACTGCGTACGAAGGCGACGAGGCTTAATTCGATGTCCCGCGATTAATAACGCCGTGCGGTGTGTATACGGGACTGTAATTTTGTTTGGTCACCGGCACAATGGTCACGCCGCACGAGAGACGGATGGGCGGGAGAGGATGAAGTCGTAACGAGGAGACGACACATTCGGACTCACGAATCGACCGCCGACGAATCATTTATCATCGACGCCGTGACACGACGCCGACGAGAACGGCGGCGTCTCATTAGCGACGCCGCCTCCGGGGACCGCCGATACGGATGCGTGTGTGAGTGAGTGAGAGTACCGATTATCACCGTCTCTCTTCTCACTCGAGTTCCCATTCTCAAGCGATCCATTCTCGAAATCGCCGAAAGCCGGCCGAGTGTGAATCGTGACGCGCGCGCCCGAACGCAATGCTAACTTCTTTCGCAACGCAGTGCTAACGACCGCGGCGAGTAAAAACCGTGTGTGCTCACACTCGCATTATATCGCCGGTCGACCGAATCGCGAATTTCTAGTCCCGATTCCTTTGTCTGCGCGAGGAGGCGAGGAGGCGCGCGGCAGAGTTATCGAATACGCGCGAGGGATTTCCGGTCCGCTGGTCTCCCATCCGTGCGAGAACGTTGTGTAGAATTCCAGTTTGGTTCCAGTCGCTTGGCAACTTCTCATCGCTGATTCCTACCTTCTCTCTCGCTTTTTCTTCTCCATTTCTGCTCTCTCCCTCTCTCCTCGTCGCCTTCGGTGAACTTTCGCGGCGAAATTTTTACGATCGTTTACTTATGTTGAATTCATCCCGCTGCTTCTTCCGTGTACTATGAAATAGTTTGCTCGGCCATGAATAATCGACGATTTTATAAGTAAATACGCGATTTTGTACGTTTGATATTGAGAAAATAACGTCCGAATATTTTATCAAGCTACTAATCGTGATTACTTGCTTTTTATATTTTTTGCAAATGAAATAATTATCTTCAAATTCAATCTTCAATGAAAGAAATTATATGGACCGTATTACTAGAAGACGTGTTTCAAAAGATATTCTATTAGATTAGTACAAAAGATTTGTCGCGCTTCTCCATGAAAAATCTATTTTAAATAAATTTATCGATTTTTACTTTAAGAACTCGGAATTTTTTGGTCGAGCATATAAATACCTGTTTCGAGATAAAAAAATGTATTAAAATTAATTTTTAGTTCATAAAAATTTATTAGAAACTTTGCAATTTACTTGACAAATACAACAAACCTTTTGCAGTAATGTTTTAATATTACTGTGTCATCAATTTTTTTATCATTACGATATCGACTCAAGACGCCTTGTCACGATTCAACAAAGCATGCACCGTTACACGGATTACGTCGTACGTCTCGAAAAATCGTTTTCGGGATTTCGAAGAGTTATCTCGTCGGTATCCAATTAGTTGCGTCCACCCACAATCTGACCGTCGTCGTGATTGTCGTCTAATGTAATTACGGCATAATGCGCGAGCGATTTCGAGGGAGCCCAAACAGTCCTCTCGAGAAATGTTTGAAGTGCGCATGCAGGCGTGCCCTCGCGAGCCGGGTATACACACGGGACTGTCGAGAGTGCCTCCTTCAGACGACGATGGGTTCGGTAGGTGCCTGATGTGTTCCGAAAGGCACGGACGCGCATTCGAAAAAAACGCACCCGTGTACTTACCTACACGCGCCCGTGTCATCGTGGGTTGTTTGAAGAGTGCCAGCCTTTCTGTTTGTATATTTCATAACTCGCTCGCGAGTATCTCCCGACGAGAGAAGACCCATCGCGACAAAGGGCCTCTACGAGGCCCTGTTTTCTTTGTTTTTTTTTTTTTTTTTTTTTCATCTTCCGCCCGCCTTCTTTTCTCGAAAGATCGTCACCGCGAGGGGCATAAACAGAAACCCTTAAGTTGCTTTCCTTTTATGAAGGGTTCCCATTTTCGGCGCGCTAGCTTCGATCGTTTAGCGCTTCGCCGGTCTAATTCAATTATGGCACCGCTGCGATGCGCGATAAAAAAGAACGTGCGTAAGAAGCGTACACGCGGACACGTGTGCGAGAGCGTGGACATGTACGCAACGTCTGCTGCGTGCGACGGGAGGCACCGGGAGGGAAATAAGGGACGCGGAGATAAAAGCCCGGATGCCTCGGTATCTAGGTATGCCGTGTACTCATGTCATGTAATAACTATAAAACCGTTTTCGCATAGTGTACCCTGCCGCGAAAAACGGTAAACCGCCTGACTTTCATCGCTCTTCTGCGGATAATGCCGTCATTATCGTCTCCGCTGATTGAATACGGTATATATAATCTCGGCAAGAACCGGCGCGCAAGTGAGCGGCAAACACTCGCGCAGGCTACCGAATGCCACCTGCGTTTAGCGGCTGGCTTAACATCTTGGCGAGTGAGCGCATCCGAGATATGCTGTTGTATTCCTTTGCCGCTAAAATAAATATTCTGATTCCCATCAGCGTCGAACGAGCCACCCATGTCTTAATTGCGCGCCTGTATGCTTCTTCGCGACGAGTGGAATCGAAAAATACATCCTCCGTATTATTCGAATGACTATTCGCATGTGCTAGACGCAGAATTGCAATTCAAATATATTGTAATTTCGACTTTCGAACATGCAGAACCCATCATTGCAGAATAATTGAATCGGTGAATAACCATTAAATTCATAGAGAAACATGTTTGACGTTTCGTATTATCGATGATTTCAAGCACGAGAGTTCTCCTCTACATGTGACTTTCGATAAGTCACACACGCGGCAGGAGTTTTCTAATAGCGACCTATTTTACGCGGACGTGATGCGGTCGCGATAGCAGCTTCCCTGCGACGTCAAACATTGCAATCGTCGTCGTCGTCGTCGACTTTCCCTGCTTCTAATTTCAATACCGATGTAAAGAGGAATACGGGAAGGGATAAGCATCTCCCGTCTCTCTTCGGCAGTGGCATAATAACACGGGAAGCGATCGACAAGATGAGAGTATACAGACGAGCTTTTGCACAATCCTCCTCCGAGCTGTATGCATCTTCAAACGGCACGTTTCGCGTCTCCTTTCTCCGACCACACATCTCTTTGTATCTTCCTCTCTCTTTAAACATACACACGCATACACACATCCGACTCGATCTTCCCTCTCTTGCTCCTTTCCCTCCGTCTTTACAGAGATTGTTCTCTCATCATGTTTTCTCTCTTTCTCCTCGACTGATCCTCGTTGGTTCTCGATAATTTCTCCTCGAGTTCGACCGTTGCCAATGCTACTCTGTGAACCCGACTGCACGATTCACACACTACGGCGCACATATATATGCGACCTGTCTGCGCGTTTTGTATGCATCGCCACGCACGACCGGCCACTGTCTCGAACGCATTAGACATATACAGACCCGCGGCGCACAATGTCTCCAATCTGGGCGCCACTATGAATGGCAGAACGTTACGAGACGCCGCCGGATCCACGTGGACGCTGTAGAATCGTCATTCAAAAATAGTGTGCATTCAGTTTTTAAGTAATTCTTTGAATCATTTAGCAAATTTTGTGAGTTTAAATTTGCAGAACACAGTAAACTAATATGTTACGCGAAAAGACCTATTAATAAATTTATAATACGCAACAATTGTTTCAGTTAAACGGTAGATTTCTACGATGGTAGATTTCAGCTACACTTCTCTTTCAAGTGCGGCATTGGTAAATGATTACGGAAACCAAAAGGAGAAATGCCAGCCACCGGGAATTGAGTCGGAAACCGTGTTTGTGGCGCGTTTGGCGCGTTTAATCTCCTTTCCCTTGGCACGTGATTAATTCCGACAATCGTAGTTTCGATAATAGACGTATAATGATAAACGATGTTCGGCCGTGCGGCATTCATCACGGAAGGCGGCGGCCGGCAGCGCGGTAGCGCGCGGGGAACGGAGCGGGGAACGAAAATGAAGGAGCCCGTTCAAAGATGCGTCGCGGAACGCCGCGGGGATCGGGCGAGACGTGAGTCAGGGGCCTCAACAGGTGTATATCCGCGTCTCGAAAACAGGCCCCATGGCCTTATAAGTGTTTTCCATTCCGGCCGATATCTTCGTCACTCTTTCAACATACTACGCGTCCCGAAACTACCGCTCCCGAATTCTTTGAGCGCGATTTTGAATGGATTCTTTTAAAATTTTGTTTCACATTTTTTAATAAAAGTTTAAAACATTGAAAAAGACCATATTTTCTGAATATATATCTTATCGGAATTGCTTGCTTTATATTCGTATTCGTTGAAAATAACTTTGCAGAAATTATTCTAGATATGACGATAATAATCTTGTCTTCGTAAGGATAACTTTCGGTATTTTATTTTGTTTAATGTCGCACGCAAAATTATCGGCTGCATCGTGCTACTACTGGTCACACTACGCGTTAAAAGCGTCATGAATAAATTGCGCTAAGCCCGCGAGCGGCACCTACGGTTGTTCAAATATATTAGCACTGTTAATACGAGATGCTAACGCGAATAATGAATAGCGCTCGCGGGATTTACATTGCTCGCGCGTCGCGCTTTCCTGCGCGTCGCCAAGCTTTTTTCTAATCGCACGTAAATTGACCAC